CTTTCAGTCATGTAAAAGTAAAAAAATATTATAGATTATAATTTTTCTGACCTAGATGACTGCTGTTTTTCTTTTGTTACAGATTTTGCAGAAGGTTTGCACATGATGTTTATTTTGCATATATATATATAGATTTGAAGGCTAACATGGAAAACTCTTTTACAAATCATCATTTGAATAATAGAATCATAAAATGATTTGAGTTGGAAGGGAGCTTGTAGATCTAGTTCCAACATGCCTGGCCATGGGCAGGGACACCTTTCACTAGACCAGGTTGCTCAGAGCTCCTTCCAGCCTGGCCTTGAACATTTCCAGGGATGGCACAGCCACAGCTTCTCTGGGCAACCTGTGCCAGGGCCTCACTACCCTCACAGTAAATAATTTTTTCCTAATATCAAATCTAAACCTGCCCTCTTTCAGTTTAAAGTCATTCCCCCTTGTCCTGTCACTACATGCTCTTGTAAAAAGTCCCTCTCCATCTTTCTCGTGCACTGCCAAACGGTTTGTCAGACAGTGGTTAGACTGGTGATACAGTTCATCTGAACACCCACTTCAGGCCTTGCCCGGGGTGTGGGACCTCTTCAGAAGATGGTGCTGTGGGACACCTCGGGTGGTATGTTGGCAGTGACAGCCAGACTGGGTGGGATGGACAGTTATGCCACTGGATCTGCATCTCCCCAAACAAAGTAGGCCAAGTTCCCTGTCAGCACAGCTGTGATGACACCAGGGAGCTTTGTAGTACTTTATTGGCATCTCATAGGAAGTCTGCGTTCTTTGCAGCTTAAACAGTCTTATTCCCTTTCACACAAATTTGAGAGAAGGTCTAGTGACCCTGCTTAATGTGGTCAAACAGCACTTGATAAGCCTCATACTTTCCACCTCTCACATGAAGTGTTAATTTATAACACTTCTAAGGCTGCTAAACACAAATGAGTGTCCTTTAGACTCTGTCAGCATATCAATATTTAATATGTCTGCTTAAATTAAACTCTAGTCAAACTACTGGATGTTCTCCTTACCTTTTTTCGCCCTTCAATCATTAATGGACATTTTCCACAAGCAAGTTAACAAAACACCTAAGATGACAATGGACTTTGCACATACTAGCTCAACCCTTTCATTCCAGAGTCTCTCCTCCTATGCAGATATGCAAAAGGATGCTCCCCAGTCTGGACCACAGGTTACAGGACAATAGTTGATCAAATATTTAGAATTGGTTTATGTTTTGAGATTTTTCCTCTGCTGCAGAATCTGTACCTTCTTTTAAAAATAAACAAACAAACAAAGCCCCTCTTTACCCAGGGTGATAGTTCCTTTTGTTCAGATTTGGGGTGTTCAGCTGCATTCCTTGATAGGAAGGACCCTTCCAAGATGGCTGTAAGAATACCCTCTAAATTTCCTCTCTGTACCTTCAGGAGCTGTTGCTGCTGCAGTCTTTGCGAAGTAGAGAACATTCCTAGATCATCTGTATGGTGGTACAGCTGTGAGTGACCCAGAACTGCACATCCTGCAACCGTAGTGTACCAAAAATAAGGTAAATTTTTGACTAGGTGCTGCTCTCATCCCTGGTCATGCTACATGTGTACTTTTATCCTTTGGATTCTTAAACCCCAGAGACTGAGGGAGGAAGGAACTGTTATAGGAACTGTTCAGTGTTTTATTTTGTTTTCTATTTTAAAGTGAGGACTTAAGAATTCTTCTGGTGACGTGTGGGACAAAAGTGTAGTTATGAACAGTGCAGCTGTGGCACTGTTACAATTTACTTGCCTTTGAAGGGCCTGTAGGAAGGTTTCTGAAGGGAAGAAATGAGAAGATTAATCAGTGATCTGAAATCTAAGCCAAATGGCAGTTGCCAAAATACTGTAGGCCAAGTGAACAGAAACCTAGAGTTGAACGGAGCTGTGTTGCTTGTTATGAAACCAGGGACAAAGGAGACATGGAGGAGGGACCCTCCTCCAACTTTTTGTTTCTGTGGCTTGTTTTCACAGTTCTGTCTCTTGCCAGCAAGGTTGCCCTCTCAAAATTATGGTATGCACGTGACTGGCATATTCATATTAAAACCAGGTTTAATTAAAAGCAGAGGACTTGTCGTCAGGAGGACATGCAGAGAAGTTAGAGCAAAGCAATTAGGATCAATATGTATTCATTTAAAGTGCATTTTTATTCTCAAGTGGGGTTTTTTGTTCAGGTCCAGAGCTGCCTGTCATGTAAACTCGGTTTGGTTTGCATCTAACTGGGCCTGCTCCCTCGGCATAAAGATCCAGCATATGTCGAAGTACTCTGTCAGTGATGTGCCTTAGCTCTTCTGAACATTTCTGTATGGATAAACCATTGTGAACTTGTGAATAGACTAATATTTTTCAGATGCTCATAGCCAATTTTGCTAGAGTGAAATATTTAATTTTAGCCCACAACATTGGTTTCTAAGCTTCTGTATCAAGAACTGTAGTGGGTTCTGGAGCTTTATATGCACTTGCATGCAAAAAGGTTTTGTACTGAAGTGTAGGAAACAGCACAGCTTGGATGGGAACTTCGGAATTGTTGTTTCCCAGCCATCTCTTGTGTGGCTGTGGAAAGATTTCAGTTAGCCTTTTGATTTCAGCCTGTGTCCTGGAGCCCAAGGAGTGATCAAAGTCAGCAGAGGCTGTTTACTATCTGGGCAGCTGTCTTCAGTCATTTGTTTCAGCAACCCAGTGCATGTGTGTTCCGAAAATGCTGTGTTCTCCCAAAGAAATCTCTGCCAGCAGCAAGCTAGCCTAGCTTTTCCTAATATCTACAGCAGTTATCTGTGGATGGGGTTTAAGCCCACTCACCTCTTGTAATTGGCTAATGTATATGCAGAACAGTTAATTCCCTTTGCTTCGCAGTAACCTTACAGTTCTCGAAGGTTATCATGTTTCCCCTCTGCCTTCTCTCTAGGTTAAATGCCATTTATTTCAGTTCTGCTCCCTGGAACAGTTTTCTAGAGTTCTCAGAGTTCCTGTTCTCTTTTCTTTCCCCCCCCTTCAGCTGGCTGCCCTTTCTGGCATGAGATACGTAACACTGAACCTTATGCCAACTGAGATGTCTTACAAGTGAGTCTTGAGTTTGTGCTGTTCTTCCGTCAGTCCTTCCAGTAGCAAGTATTAACTTTAGTATTTACAGGAACACTGTGAGGTGTGGATCTAGACACTTTCAAAGATACATCAAGTTCATGAACCTGTAAATATTGCATGGACTGGATGCAAATATTTGGACTGCAGGTCTGAAAGGGGAGCTATGCCATACCTGTAGGAAATGCAGAGGCTGTTAACATCTGAGATTGCATCAGCATTTCAGGTCTAGGAATATTTCAGCTCTCAGAATTTCACTCAACTCTGGGAATGTTTATATTTCCACCTGCAGTGTGTTGGTACCTGAGCTCTGATTGGGTAGAGGTAGCAGCACAGCTGTCATGCTGAACACACCATGGGTAGAGCCCTGTGCTTGCTGAGTGTTCAGTCAGCCTCTGCATCAGATTTTGCAGTCTGGAGGGTGAAAGTCGCAGGTGGATGAACTTGAGCGAGTTGACAGCTACCTTGCCGTATGTCTAACAGCGCTGTAGGTGCCACGGACACTTGATCTGGGCAAGGCTTTGGATGAAACGGCCTCTAAAGGCAGCGGTTGCGCTGACCCACGGGTGAGTGGTCTCTCCCCTGAGCTGGCAGGCTGGGGTTGCAGTGCTGCACGTGGGCTGCATCGCTGTCTGCAGCGCAAGTTTGCGGCCTTTTGGCATCGGCGGCGGCGGGGAGGCAGCGCCCATCCCCGTCCTGCGGCGGCTCCGCTGCCTTTGGTCCCCGCGGCTGTGCCCGGGGCAACCCGGTGCTGCGGTGCCTCCTGGGCTTCGGCGCGGACGGGCGACTGCCCGGAGCAGGGGATGGCAGTAGGGGTCACCGTGCCTGGGGACCAGGCCCTCGCCGAGGGTGGCGGTGGGGCCGGGCGGGGGCAGGCGGGACACAGCGGGGAGCGGGGGCGGCTCCCGCCCGGCGCCGGGCTGGGCACGACCCTCGGCCGGGGACCCGCGTCCGCCTCGCCCCGGAGAGCGCGGGGCGGGGGGAGGCGGCGTGGCCGCGGTCTGCCCGCGGAGCAGGAACGGGATCGGGATCAAGGCAGGGTCGGCGGCGGAGGTGAGTGCGAGCGGAGCGGCCGCCCCCGGAGGGGCGGGGGTCGGGGCCGCCCCCCCGCCCCGGGGCTGCGGGCGGAGGCGGCGGCGGCCCCCGGCGGCTCCTCCCCCGCCCGAGTTACAACCGGTTCGTGCCGGCCGAGGCTCGCCCGCCGCGCCGGGATGCGGGGCTGTCCCAGCTCCCGGGGGCGGCTCCTGCCCCCCGCCCCACGGGCCGCCCGCCCGCAGGTAACGGGGACGCGGGGATCGGGTGGGGGGCAGCGAGGGGGCCGGGCCGGGCCGCGGGGAAGGTCGGACGGAGGTCTGGGAGGGAGCTGCCCCGGGGCCGGGGCGGGCCGGTGTCCCCGAGGGGGCTCCGCGCGGTCTCCACAGCTCCTGGATTCGGCAAAGGGGCAGGCGCGGGACGTGCCGCCGTCCCTGGCGCCCGCCGGGGCAGCCGCATCCCCTGCGGTGCCCATCGACGTCCGCCCCGCGGTGCCGACCGCGGGCACCCCTCGGCGTTGGCTGCGGGGGCCTCCCGGTATTCCCTGTTGGCATCCAGCGGGCACTGGGCGCTGTGGGGCATCACCACCTGCCGCGGGCACGTGGCAGCGGGCGCCCGTGGCCACCGGTGCGTGCCCATCCCGGGCGCCCTTTGGCATCTGGGAAGCTGCGGCTGCCCGGGAGCGGGGCCGTGCGGCACGACCTGTCTCTCCCTGTGTGTGGCATCGGGGCGGCGAGGGCGACCTTCGGTCACCTCATGGTGCGCGTCACTGGGCGGATGAGCGATTGCCGTCGAAACTGGTCTGGAGGTAGAAGGCGTCAATGTGTAACGCAGTGCTCCGGAGCAGGGCTGTGGGCTGGCCCTGGAGGGCGTGGGGAGAGGCGAGGCGAGCCGGGGTCTATAAGAGGCTATCCATCCCCACGGAGGACTTGGCCAAGGAGCACGGACCGGTTGAGGGAGCGGATGCCGACGGGAGCCCTCGCAGGTTGTGATGGGTAAGGCGATGCACACCGCGCTCTCGTCCTGCAGAGGACTTCTCCTCTAGTAAATCGTGGTGGCTGGTGGTTTATAGCAGCGCCGGCTCTCGTCTGTCTGCATGGATGCGTGCTAGTGTCCGACAGGCAGGTATACTTGCGGGGGGGTTTTCCATCCCCTTTGGGGCAGTGAGGCTCTGGAAACAGGTAGGACTGGTTCTGCTGAGCTGACAGATATGTACAAAGTTGGCTGTTTTATGCGCTGCCCCATAGATGCTTCTTTATGTGAACTGATTTTGCACAATAGAGAAACATTATTACGTCGTTGGTAAGTTTTGTTCTGGTATTTTGTTTTATTTTAAACTTCACGCTTCTTCCCTCATCAGGCAGCAATGGAAGGAAATGTTGATGGGCCTCTTGCTTAACTTACAAAAGTGCAATTAGAGAAGCATGAGAAGTAGGTAGACTTGAATGCTGAGAACTTGAAGGGAAATATATATATACTCACTGTGAAAGAACTTAAATACTTGAACATGGGAAGTTACTGTAGTTAGACATCAAAGTCTGATGCCATCCAAGTACAGATGCATCTTTTTCAGTGAATTTAATACAATGCTCCTGCTGTCACATCAGTATATGTGCAGGTGTTTGGATATGATGACTGTGTTAAAAACAACCATAGTGCATCATGGCCACTCTCATGCTTTAGGTGTTACTTGCCAGCTAAGGGTAGCAGAAACTTCAGATAATAATGGCAAGAACTTCCCTGAAAAATAAATAGAAATTTACAAGAAATCTGATTCAGCTCAAAAAGAGGGAATCTTTTTGGCTGGTACCGTCTTCATTTGTACCAGTGCCTTGCAAAACTGGACTAGCCAAGTGTTAATCATGCAGTGTTTCTGCTGACATTGGCTTTCTTTGCAGCCATGTGCTGCTCACAGAAAGCAGCACACTTACCCAGGCTCTGGTTGCACAAAGAGCAAACTGGAAACAATCATATTGCTACTGTCTTTCTCAAGATTCCCTTTGCCACAGATTAATACAAGTTTCTGTGCTGAGGGCTAATGTTTCAGTTGTACTCGTGTTCTTTTTTTGTTGCTCATCTGTCATCTTTCAGCCAAATTTTAAGTTTTATAGAAAGAGAACTCATTATTGTGATAATGCTGCTCAGAGAATAGCAAACAGTTGCAGCCAGACACCTCTCTCTTTCCACATTAAAATTGTTGTTCAGTTTGTTCTCTAGGGTTTCTTTTTGTTGTGGTTGGTAAAGGCTTTCACCAAGCAGCTCTCTTCCTCTGATTCTTATTCGCAGTGAGCACAACTCACTGAAAAGCTTTTTCTGACCAAACTTCAAATTGCTGTTTAATTCTTTATGCTTCATGTCTAGATTTCAGTATTTTTAATGTAATGAGGTTTCCTGGAGTCTGAAACAATATCCCTAGGTTTTGTGAAAGGGAAGGTTTGTGAAATCGTTCCCACCTGAATCTTAAACCCATGGTTGTTTGTCTGTTTCCAGGATCACACAAGTCTTCCTAGTTGGCTCTGAGATAAAACTATTGAGCTCTCTCTTCTGTGTGGGCTTCTGCTTCTTTATTTTTGGTGGCCACATTTATCTGTGCAGTCTGTGTCCTTCTTCCACACAGATAGAAAATAGTAAGAGGCTCTTTGGATCCCTCTCAAGTTGATGCACAGATTCAGTGCCTATGCAAGTGGTGTTGGGAGTAGCAAGGGTTTAATTTCCTCTGTCAGTTCTTGTCCCTGCTACTAAGCTATTATAGTATAACTTGTCATTTTCAGGGAAGCATTAAACACTGTACCAGTAGAAAGTGGATTGATATTCACAGTCCCAGCAGCAGCTTGGTCGACTGGGACATCTTTAACTATGTATTGTAGCAGAGGGCTCTGGGGAACAGGCTCCTCACACAGGTCTGGCACCTCTTGGGCTCTCTGCAGGAGGGGCTTTGTGCCTTCAGGGGAGTTAGAAAATACATCTCAGTTTGGGTAATAGGCACACAGCAGTGTGAGGAGCAACCTGAAAGAAAGGGAAAGGAAAACCAGGTCACATCAGTCCTTAAAAACAGATTCTGGGAATTTATGGGTCTGTTATGCCTTTGAGGATCATTTTGGGGGGGGGGAATGATGGTGTTTTTTACTTTTTGCTTGACAATTGCAGATGGTAAATGGCTTGAAGCATTTAAAAAATAGGGATGATTTTGATACCTAAAATTTTCTTATTTAGCTAGAAGATGCAAAAGAGATCTGTGGTGCAAAACAGATGTCAGGATGTAGAGGGTCAGCTCTTTTGCTGCCATAAATTGGGAGCAGTTGGTTGAAGTCAATAATGCTGTGCAGTGTTGCAGCAGATGAGGAACGAATCCAGAGGTTTTTCAATCTTTCTATTAGAAAAGACTATGTGACCTAAGTTTACAAGAACTTTTTTCCTCTCCTGCCCTGTCCTTGCTTCCTCTGCATCAACTGTTTAGAATAGCAGAACTGAACTCAAAAGTTGTCTTTGTGCCAAATTTTAGGGCATCGATATAGTGGAAATCAATATAACAGTGGTTTTTTTCCTGAAAGTTACTTTTTAAACAAATGAGTTGAAGTTATTTACTGTCTACCTCCATTATTTACCTGAAAACTTCCTTGCTTTGTCTGAGCGTCTGTTGTTTAAGCAGTTACTTATTTCTACTATTTTTTTACTCTTAGGCAAGGACAAAACAAGGTGAATGATAGAATCATAGAATCAGCCGGGTTGGAAAGAACTTCTGAGATCATCAAGTCCAACCCTTCTTTCCCCCCCCCCAAATCCAGTCCGGGTTTTCCCCCATTCCGTACTCCAGAAAAATCCAGTCCGGGTTTTCCCCCATTCCG